ATTACTAATTTTTCACACCTAAAAGTCGCTTATGCCCAGCTTAGATTAATAATCCGTTTGAGTCACGAGATCATCACCGCGGAACTGCTGGCAACTTTGACTACCATTTAAATAGGTGTTTTAAGACACCTAATAATTACTAATTTTTCACACCTAAATATCACGGATACACAGCTTAGATTAGTAATCAGTTTGAGCTACGTGATCATAACCAAGAAAGTTATGGTAACTTTGAAACCATTTAAAGAGGTGTGTAAGACACCTCAGAATTACTAATTTAATATAACCAAAGATTCACGGACAGAACAATAAGACGATTGGCCGGTGTAAGTAACGTGATTATTACCATCAACCTTGGATAACCTGTGAAACCAATCGATTAAGGTGCTTACAAGACCGAATAATTACTTATTTATCACCACCATCGGTGAACGGACAAAAAACTCGTTGCTTGGTCAAGTGGTTATTTGGTCATAAACACGTGATTTACAGAGGTAAGTGGAATCACGTTACTCCAGTCGCGTGATAAATTGGTGGTTTTTAGGTTAGATGAAAACGTGAACAGGAGTACCTTTTTTTTTTAAATGAAAGCACGAGTCGATAACGTTTAAATTTAGTTCAAAGGGCACCATACTTTAAAATCACTTAAATTACACTCCCAAAAGAGGTTACTTTTTAGTGTTTTGTTTATTGGGTAGGGACTCATTTCTAAAGATTTTACGATTGAGAATTTATCAAAGATCTATACACCTTTAAAAGGCTCTAATCGTCTGGTTGCTTACTTACAAGCATTTAAGGTTTTCTTAGCAGTCAGGTAAAATGAACATCACATTACATCACATCACATCAGCTTACGAAATTGCCGTGTAAAGTTATTACATAGCGCTAGATTTACATTTAAATTATTCTGACAATGATATGCCTTATCGTCATCGAAGCCACTATATAGGGAAAATTTGTGAAGATGTTCTGGTTGAGAAATTTATTATAGCTCTACACCTCTAAAAGGCTCTTATAATATCAGCTTAAGAAATTGTTTTGATGTTCTCAGGTAAAAAATTCCTACAATGAAAGAAGTAACAAAATAAAGCTGATATTATTAGAGCCTTTTAGAGGTGTATAGTCTAGATCTATAATATATTCTCAACCGTAAAATCTTTAAAAATGAGTCTCTATAGGATAACGAGAAATGCCTATCCTTGATTGCTAGAGTAATCAATTAGTGCTCAGTAACGCTTTTTTATTTTATTTTATTTTTTTATTAACAAGATGAGCTCTGATTGGCTGTATGCAAATGAGTTCAAACTGGGGGTCCGGAGCTCAAGTGGGAAAAAATTACACCGGCCCGGAAAGATTACAAAAATAACATTACAGAAATAAAGAAGATCGTAAAATTGAGGTAGCATTTTGATCGTATTTGCGGATCGAGAAAGGAACAAAGAAATTTAGGAAACGTTGAGTGCGACAGTTCATTGAACGAAGTCGTTTACCAGTACGCATACAAATATATTATAGAAAGAGAGGACGATTTTCGTTCTTCATGATTTGTTTTACTTCTAGAATTATTTTGGACTCGCATGCTTCATTCAAATTCCGAATTTCACTCGTTATCATCCCTGCTTGTTTGGTGATTCTCTGGAGTGTGCTAGAGTCTCTCTTCCTACACCTCCCGTACCAGACTACAAAAGTAAATAACATAACACTTTCTATGATGGATTTGTAGAACAAAGTAAGGATAGTCTTATCTACATTAAACGATTTAAGTTTGCTAAAAAAAAATCCTTTGTTGAGCCTTTGAAAAAACGGATTTACACTGATCAGCTCATCATATTTTGTTGTCAAATACGGTGCCTAGGTACTTGTTTGTCTCGAAAATGTCTATATTTTCTTCTTTTATCTTAATAGGCAATACAACTGAACGTGTACACGTTCTGAAATCAAAATTTTTTTCTTTCGTTTTAAGTAGAGGTGAGGTGTTGTGGACGAGTGGATAAGTCGCCGGACTGTGGATCACAAGGTCCGTGGTTCAAGTCCCGCCGCAGCACTAATGTCCTTTGGCAAGACATTGATCTACATTTGCCACTCTCCACCCAGGTGTTAAATGGGTATCCGGTAGGATGCGAAAGCTAATGTGGTTAGATTAGCAAGTGTGCGCATGTAAAAATGACGCCTGGCTGGAATGCTCCCCAGGGAGTGGAGAATGTGCATACATTGTGTGCGGGTAAGCCTGAATCCAATGACCGGGGTAATAGTATACTTATCTGTAAAGCGCTTTGTGAGGGCCTCCGGTCCTGAAAAGCGCTATATAAGAACGAGCTATTATTATTATTATTAAGTTGAAGAAAATTTTGTTTGCACCACTTTTGAAACTTGTACACCTCGTATCGATAATTTACCTCATCTTTACTTATGATACCCACTATCGCCGTATCATCGGCATATTTCACAAGTTAAAGTGACTCGGTAACATTGCTGAAGGTTGATTAAATAATTGCTAAATTTTTCATATACAATTGTACTCATTATATTCCTTCTACTGTACCAACCCTCTGGCATGCAAACAAATCCTGAACCAATTCTCAAACCACGAAGATATATATGGTTTTCTTTGAAGGCGTAACTGTGCGACACCCTCTAACAGTGATTAACAGTAAATTCTCTCAACCATTTTCGAATTTTCCCAACCGTTTTTCCATGAAAAAAGGGACAAATAATGTCAACACTGTCAACACTTAAATGTCTGAAATGGAATGTAGAGCCATTTTATTGCTTTGTGACGATTTACATTTACCTTAAATTGTAATAATATAGTTGGGAGAATTAAGGAATCGACCAGATCAGTTTTTCCCAATTTGTATCATTCTTAACGGGACTTTGTAACATTGTTCAGATGAAAGATAGTGGTGCTAAGGTAGTGAATTTAATGTTAGATGTACAATTAAAGATAATCTGAAAAAATGAGCGAAAACGGACCATTATTCATGGTACAAATTAGGAAGAACTGATCTGATCGATTCCTTAATTCTCCCAACTATATTATTACAATTTAATTACATTTAAGGTGAATGGAAATCTCACAAAGCAATAAAATGGCTCTACATTCCATTTCAGACATTTAAGTGTTGACAGATTTTTTATAGCCTGCTTTATGTCTTTTTTTCATGGAAAAACGGTTGGGAAAATTCAAAAATGCTTGGGAGAATTTACTGTTCATCACTGTTAGAGGGCGTCATACATCGACACCTTCAAAGAAAACCATAGATATCTTCGTGGTTTGAAGCATGTCCAAGGAGTAAACAGTGAAAATAAACAGTGAAAAGTTAAATGATGACTGACCTGGTATTATCACAGGTCTAATAAGATTTAGAGGAAAATACTGTGTGATTTATAATCTAGCTAATTTGGTGTCTTAAATTGGCAATCAGCTGATAGACAGAGTTTGAGGTATTACAGCAAGTAGGTCAGGTTATGGGTCAGTGCAGGGTTAAGCTCAGGAATATGTATAGGCTCATGTATCTTTCATGTGTATAATATGAAGTAGAGTGAATGTGTATATTATATAGATGCAAGGCTGTAATATTAATTGATCAGCCTTTCTATGTTCTTTGGCATTTATGTTACGCGATGCTTATGACTGTGTTCTGTTTATTTCATTAAAGGTTGAACCGCAATCATCGGTATCATTCGGTATCAGCACAAGGGTGACACTGAGTTTTTCATATGTCAACGATTGGACTTCAGTAAAGTGTCAGAATTATCGTCAACAACAGTTATCTTTTTCCAAGTTCTTTGATTATGTTGACATATTTGTCTTTACCATGGCAAGATTTTACCAAGCAGTCACTGGATCGAGGTGTCAAAGAATAGTTGATAGTGAGTGTGTATGTGTGTGTGTGTGTGTGTGTGTGTGAGGGGGGGGGACTGCCCGTGCCCCCATTTCCTGAAACATCACAGATTATAGATGTACTTACAGTATACTTACCATTCGACACTCCTAATCCTAATTGTCTGCGTTACTAAATAACTAAATGACCAACAAATTAGGGGAATAAAATATTTACAAAACCAAGCACATATTCGGCTCAATCTTAATATTTTAAACGCTTCAAAACTCAATGAAATTGATATAAACTTGAAGGAATTTTAAATATCCATCGAATGACACGAATCCCATGGGGATTTTACCTAAATTGTATCTTTAAGATTTGATTTTACAAACCAAACACGCCGATCAATACACACATACAAAATAAGAGCAAAAAAAAAGAATAGTTTTTTATGGAAATCAATTCAATAATTTTGGTTCGCTATAACATTTCACATTTGCACAAGATATTGTCATTTTACATGCGAAATTTTCTGGAAACTTAGGGAAAAAGGCACTTTGAATTTCGATATATATAATAAGGTTTTTGGATAGAATGAAATTTGGGAAAAAAAATCACCCCCCCCCCCCCAAAAAAAAAAAAGTTCCTTTAATATTGCAATGCTCATTAATATCAATTCCATTGAGATTAGTATCAAAATGTAGATCATTTGATTTTCTTTCATATGACATGAAACTCACATGGTGGTTCAAGGTTTCCTTGAAATATTCTTGACAAAATACGATTTTTCGTGCAGCGAAGTATAATAGGAATCCGTGCATAAAGCAAGGGGAGTTCGAAATGTCACACGGTACACAGCGGAACGTGTATGGATATGCATGATTTGGCGCTATCAAAATTACGTAATAAGGCTTGATATTTTGACCCTGTCACGAGGTTGCTACGTATTAGCCTGGACTATTTTTCTCCCCGGAAAGATGGTTGAGAGAACAAAAAAAGGAAGAGGTTGGATTGACGGAAAGAGAGAGATTGAGAGAGAGAGAGAGAGAGAGAGAGAGAGAGAGAGAGAGAAACAGAGATAAGGAGAGAGAAAGAACACGCAGAGAGAGGGAGGACTAGGAGGGGGTATAGTGCTACAAGTACATACATTAATAAAGACATGCGACACATTAATGCGGTTCATTATTTAATTTGCAAATAACTGCACCTGGTTACATATTTTGAGAGGAAAAATTGAAGTAAGGTGGAAAAGGTTTGTGTTATACTTGGCTAGCAGTAGTAATAGTTTAAAGTAAATATGATGCTTAGAAATCAGGTAAGGAATGTAAAGTAATACGCACATTTATTTATGCAATATGCACTATATATTAAAAGAATTATATGCAATAAGTGAATTAATATCAGAAAATTGAGCCACCCGAACGAAGAAAAAAACTCTCAACATGAAGGTTTCGTTTTTGAAAGGGGACTAAATCAATCATGACTTAACTAACTCTCTCGATACAAGAGTTGAAATCCCCAACCAGAGTAGTTGACATGACTCTCAACGGATTACTCCAAACCATTACATTCGAGTGGATTCCTCTATAATTCGGAGTGGATTCAACTCTTAACGAATCGATCGCTAATATGACTCGTAAAAGAATGGATGTCCCCTGATGAAGGGAGCACAGATAATAAAGTTCTCCGTTCCGTATACATTATCTAATGTCTGACAAAGCGAATACATGCATTTAGGCTTAGATATAAATGATGAATTATTGCACGATAGCTATTTTTACGTCAATCGTACTGCAGGTTGAACGATAGTACGGGATGAAGAGATCGCCAATCTAAAAATTAAGGTACGTGTTCAACTCCTGTAGATAAATGTATAATCATGGCTAAAAGTTAGGTCACATTGAAAAATACCGGCCGAAGAAAAAGTGTGGAGATAATAACAGATGATGAACAGATCGATAGCCGAAAATATAATGCTAAAATTGCCACCTCTGCTTCTGGAGGCACAGTAATAAAATTTAAGGTTTTTCGACAAGTATATTTCGATGTTAACTAAAAATGATAATGAAGTTAAAACCAGTGTTATGATGAGAGTATGTTTAAGAAACTAGATCACTAGGTGAATGAAAGACATCTTTGTTCATTGATAATCTCAAAATACATTACATGTATCATAAAATGTTCATTTTATTTTCGATTTCAATATATCTGAAAGATCTACATGCAACATGAGCTCAAGGACTTTCGAGAAATCAACCTAGAGCGATTTCAATAGCCCTGAGCGTCACCTTAGAGTGTGCGAACATCCCAATGACATTATTACTAAATCTGAACGTGATCTCGAAAGTCTTTGCGATCGAGCTTTACTTAAAAGAAGCAAAACAAAACAAGAACAAACCATTTGTGACATTTGTATCCCTACGCCTTGCTAATACCAACAACTAAACAGCAAATGAAAAGTTCATCTCCAATGATAAAGAGCAACAATTTAGAGAGATTCTGTTATTATTAAAATGAACAATGGAACAACACGCAACTTTAGATACTTGTTTTTCTGCATCTATTGAAAGTAAATTTATTTTGGAGTTGACTTGTCCTTTAAACATTACAAATATTGAATGACAGAAGAAAAACAAAATAAAAAACTAAGTTGAGAAGATCTTTTTAGAAATACACGAGAAAGCATAGAAGACATACTCGTAGAGGTTTATATGCATTCATTTTAAGGCTTTCTACTACCAGCTAAAGGTACCATTCTATATTTCGGTTTGGCTATCATACAAAAGTTTTATGCGCAAACAAACTAATGAAACAAAACACATGACACCATCTAAAATTGCAATTAAAGATATCTATCACTAAGTGGCTGCATTAATTAAAATCATAGCATTTATCTTGAATCCAATGGTTTCCCTATTTCAGAGGTGTCTTCATCAACACTAGTTCGAGGATAGCAACGAATATTCAAAATGATTCCGTGCAAAGAGGACTTTGTCACGTCGTAAATTATACTACTAATTTTAGTCCAATCAAAGCGATTTCTTCGTCTTCTTATTTTCCTCTCTTTCTCTCTGCATGCGTTAATAGTCCTGCTCGGTTACGCCCACTCTGCGATAGCCAGTCAGCTCGGGTCGACGACGACGCATGCGCACCATCATCAGCGCCATGATGACAGTAAGAGCAATAAGAACACAGAGGGCGCTCACAGCCACGATCATCAGGGGGTTATGAGATTCGGGTCCTGGAGAGTGAAAGAAAAAAATTGACAAGATATTAATAACAACAAAAACAACAAAAAGAGTAATGATAATGATGAAAATAATAGACCTAAATATACTCATGATACTCGCGAAAGGGCCGCCCGCGCGCTTTTTGTGACCGATATGTGTTGAAAGGACGTACTTGAAGAGTTGACACAATGGTAGATAGAAAAGAAAAAAAAGAAGAAGTTGGTGAATGCTATCCTAAACAGAACTATAATTGAGTTGTGAAGTGTGACGTCATCAACAAGTCTATTTTTCTTCATTTTCCGAAAGAGCATCAAAAATAATTTGCAATTGTGGAAACCAATTGAATATGTTGAGTATTGGCTGTGATATGACCATTTGAATAAATATATTTCCTATAGGAATTAAGTGTTATTCGCTCTATCTCCTAACCATTACGAGCCAGAGCAAATAGCACTGACTTCCTATAGGAAATATATTTATTAAGATGGTCATATCTCAGCCAATACCTAACATATTCAATTGGCCGGTGGGAGACCGTTCGGGAATCGGTGGGTCATCAGACGATCACTGCCGGGACGCCGATTGGAGAAGCTCCCGATTTCGCCCAGTTTCGACCTAAAATCGACCGGCGGCCGACGGAAAATCGACAGGGCACCGCCCAGGCATCGCTGGAGATCTACAACCTGCTCGACTTTTCCAAAATCGTTGGGCGATGCTTAAATTCCAGCGGTTACCGAGCAGGCTACTAATTGGTCGGTAGTCGCTCTGATTTGTGACAATAGCTTACAATTCGGGCGGCGCCTGCTCACTTTTACCCGCCGCCCGGGGAGTCGCCGCCTGGCCGCAGGCCGAATCGAGCCTTCGCCGTCGAGCGATTTAGGTAAAAAAATCGTAGCCGCTAGGTAATAGGCTACCGAGCGGTCGCCGCCCGATTGTCGCTGGGAGATCAGTCGGTCACTTGGCGACGAATTCAAAATCGGTCGGCTTCCGCGGGCAGCGCCATCTTGATTTACAGTGGCGTCTGTTCGATCAAGGCTGGGTATATTAAAAGGCGCTGTTCAGCGCGCTTGACCAGAGACAACAGCTAGATTTCTACCCGAAGTTTGTTTCACCAAAGAAACAAAACACGCAAGAAAACCAAAAAAAAACAACACCAAAGTGGGGGGGGGGGGGGGGGAGGAGCCTGCCCGTTAGAAATTCCCGGCGGTCCGCCGCAGGTACGCCTACGAGACACACACAGATGCCCCGCCGATCACCGGCCGGTCATCAGCTAATTTCTTTTAAATAAACCGGTGGCCGGTGGGAGTCCACCCGTAAATCCGTGGGTCATCAGTCGGTCACTGCCAGGACCCCGCCCGGAGAAGCTCCCCGATTTCGCCCAGTTTTGACCTTAAAATGAACGGCGACCGACGGGAAATCGACAAGGCATCGCTGGGGCTCTAAACGCAGCCTGCTCGACTTCTCTAAAAACATCGTTTGGCGGTGCCTTTAAAACTCCAGCGGCGACCGAGCAGGTTATAAATCGGTCGGTCGCCGCTCTGAGTTGTGACCATAGTTCAAAGATACTCATCAACAACTAATGTATGCAATTAAATTCGCATTCTGACTGCTGAGAAAAATTAGTTCGGAACAGGTGCATACGCAATTTTCGTGTAATCAAAATGAATGCACAAATCTTTGTTAAGTGCCTCGTTACAATAATTTCATTCACCCGTTATCAAATAAATTGTATCAAGACACTTCACAAAGACGTGTGCATTAAATATGGTTTAGTAGGAGACCAGCCTGTAGCTCCCGGGACAAATCTCTAGTACAGCGGATTAGCTCCCCATATAACGAGAATTGTGCACTTTTTGATAAAAGCATGAAACTTCTAACATAGTTAGTTTAGACCATAAGATTCATTTTCAGATGTGGAGGGAAGTCAGATTTGACCTCTGATGACCCTGAGAGGTCAAATTCAAAATGGCCGCCAGTCCGCATGGTCTAATGTACAAACACGCTAATTAACTTTTGAACAAAATAGTCCAGAAAAACATTTAAGGTGTCGTTTCCAACTAAATTGAGGATGCCAATGCATTTGGTTATACTTTTGAGATCGCCAGATTTCGGGGTTTGGCATTTAGGTCAAGGTTAAGGTCAAAATTGACTAAAAATAGCAAGTTTTCAATGTTTACAACGAAACAAATCCCATTTATTTGTCATTTGTTCGCTCCTATGTTCTCAAATTTCTTTAAGAGTGGTTCCCCTGCAGACCATGAGATTCATTTTCAGATGTAGAGCGAAATCAGATTTGACCTCTGATGACCCTGAGAGGTCAAATAAAAAATGGCTGCCAGTCCGCCGCATAGTCTAATAATTGTCCAAACACGCTTAACTCTTGAACTAAATAGTCCAGAAAAACGTTTAAGGTGTCATTTCCAACTAAGTTGGGGATGCCAATTCATTTAGTAATACTTTGGTTCCATGACACATGCTCCGCCGACGATTGCTCCGCCGACATTTACTCCGCAAAACGCGACAATTGCTCCGCGACATTTGCTCTGCGACATTTGCTCCGACGTCAAATGCTCCGCCGACAGGTGCTCCGCCGACAGTTGCTCCGCCGACAGTTGCTCCGCCGACAATTGCTCCGCCGACAGATGCTCCGCCGACAATTGCTCCTCCGACAATTGCTCTGCCGACAATTGCTCCGCCGTCAATTGCTCCGCAAAACGCGACAATTGCTCCGCCGACATTTGCTCCGCCGACATTTGCTCCGCTTGAAGCGACACTTGCTCCGCCGACATTTGCTCCGCCGACATTTGCTCCGCCGACATTTGCTCCGCCGTCAATTGCTCCGCCGACAATTGCTCCGCCTGAAGCGACAATTGCTCCGGTGACATATGCTCCGCCGACAATTGCTCCGACGACATTTGCTCCGCCGACAATTGCTCCGCCGACAATTGCTCCGTCGACAGTTGCTCCGCCGACAATTGCTCCGCCTGAAGCGACAATTGCTCCGGTGACATTTGCTCCGCCGACAATTGCTCCGACGACATTTGCTCCGCATGAAGCGACACTTGCTCCGGTGACATTTGCTCCGACGACATTTGCTCCGGTGACATTTGCTCCGACGACATTTGCTCCGCCCAAAAAGTGTCCCATTAAATACAATTGCTACTAGTACTACGACAAATGCTTCGCCGACAATATTTTTTTTTCACGGGTTGTTTTTGTTTCTTTCTTTTTTTCTTCATTTTTTGAATGCATTTCATGACATTATGTAAATGAAATGAAATGAATGAATGTTGATAATGTGGGAGGAAAAAGCAGTTGCCTAAAAGTCATTTCGAATATACTGAAATAACTTTCCATCTATCACTGTACGTCCCACATAATGTACACTAAACACTCATTACATGTCATGGGAAGTTTTTTTTTTTTAAAGTAGAGCAGCAAGCCACATTCCCCAATACGCGCATACCTCCTAGTTAATTTCAAACAGCTCATCAATATGTAAGACCTGAAATTACCTCAATGAAAGAAGACTAATAACATGAGAGGAAAGAAAAGAGCAAAAAAAAAACAACCGTTTTTTGCTATTCCCCATAATGTTTGATTTAAAAAAATAAAAAATAAAATTATAGCTCCTTACGCAAGTTCTCCGGCGAAAGATAATTACTCCGCTCAAAATCTGTTTCATGTATTACTCATTAGCTGATCCAAAGCTCAAGGCTATCTCTCTCTCTCTCTCTCTCTTTCTCTCTCTCCCTTGCTCCTCCTTTTCCTGTTTACACCGTTTTCTTGTCTTCTTTGCTCTTTTCTTTCCTCTCATGCAATTAGTCTTCTTTCATTTCCATCACTTCTTCTCTGCTCCCCCTCTCGAGTTCTATTTCTCTCGTGAAATTGAAACGTAAAGTAATACAATCATGTAGTACATTCTTGTTTAGAATAATATTTTCAATAATATCCAGTCCATTTTCTAAAGGTTTCTTTCCTTTAGTTAAGTGTATGTAGCTTTAATATATATATGTGAGTGTGTAAAACACTCCGTTTCATTCGAGTACTTTGTTTTCACTAAATAATTTAAGGGACTCACGAAGCCACCGGAAGAAGAGCAATTGGCTTATCATGAAGAACTAACATCAAACTGCAACAAAATGATTTGTATAAATGTGAATAAGCAGAAAGGCTGCCATCTCATTTTCCCGTCTGAATGGGTTCTCTTCCTTACGTATATAAGTGCCCTTATTTTCTAAACTTTTTTTTTTATATTTGTGTGTTTATTAAATTTTCAATCATATACAAATTACATATTTACAAGTCATTGGTAATAATTAGACAAACAAAAAAACCAATATGTATAAGAACAACTAACAATAATGAAAGGACAAGAAAGTTATAAAAAAAAAACATTATAGTAAAAAAAAATACACTGTACACATATAAATCATAGTTTGAACTCCAGTGCATAAAGGGGAGTGAGGGGGCACAGGAATAAAAGTTAAATCAACATGAGTATCATAAGTCAAATCGCCATTTCTTAAAATGCGAAACAAGCTTGTTCCTTTTTTTCGCTGAGAAATATTCAATATCTTTTTGTTTCTTTATAAAACTCTTAAAAAGATCAACACTTGGTAAATCCCCCTTACTTATTTTCTAAACTTCCATGATGACCTATTACATTGTATAATGCTTTACCTAGTAAGATGCATTGATCGAGGTAATTTCAGGTATTACATATTGATGAGCTACTTGAAATTAACTAGGAGGTATGCGCGTATTGGGGAATGTGGCTTGCTGCTCTACTTTTTTTTAAAAACTTCCCACGACATGTAATGAGTGTTTAGTATACATTATATGGGACGTACAGTGATAGATGGAAAGTTATTTCAGTGTATTCGAAATGACTTTTAGGTAACTCCTTTTTCCTCCCACTTCATCAACATTCATTCATTTCATTTCATCTACATTATTTCAAGAAATGCATTCAGAAAATGAAGAAGAAAAAAAGAAACGAAAAAAATAG